AGGATCAAATGAAATCCAGAAGGTACTTGCACTGCTGCCAACTGGTGTTAATGTGTGTTTTTGAGTTACTTAAAATGCTACATATCAGTACGTTCAGCACTGAGCCTACTTCAATCACCTCTTAAACTATGTCTCATATTTTAAGATTGATCTTTAATCTTTTAATTTTGAATATCTGTTTTCATAAACATGGATATTAAAATGCTTTCTAAATTTAAAAGAATCCCCTCATCAAAGTTATTTTAACTCGTATTCTCATCCTAGGTGAGACATTTCAGAACTAATTCACAATCTCTTTAAGATAAGTACAATTCAGATTGTGCATCTTTCCGAGATGGAGAAACTACACTACGGGGTCAATTTGGTGATTTTTGTCACATATTGATTGAATGTACCAGGATGTCCTGTAGACAGATCTTGGGTTTCAATCTCAATTGTGATAGTCCACCTCCTGACCGTGATGACATTCAATTGCAAAGCAGGAACAGCTCTACTTAAACAGAGACTAAAGCATCTATCCACTGTTGAGGTCTTGTTGAGGGATTTATCGGATTGCATATAGAGGCATAGTGGGTTCAATATTGATAGGTTTGACCTGGCACAACTGCATTTATTGTTGGTGTAATACTAAAGGTGGGGTTGGAACAGGGTTGGGATTAGACCTGGGTACAATGCCAACTGGCAACAATATCTCAATGTCAGTGTCTCTGCATCCCATACTTTGAGGTCTTATCACCATCAATTTGAACACAACTGAGTTTTCTGAATTTAAGACAGTTCTCATTTATTCTAACTACATTTTTGCTTGATTTTTGTATTTGCTTGATTTTGTATTTTGCTTGATTTGTATTTGCTTGATCCTTGTAGTACAATCTTCAAAGGATGCATATATACAATACATTTACAACATAATTTACACTTAAATAGCTTCTTTCACATCAGAAGGATGTCACAATTCACCGGAATCCTGGTGAAAGGATTGCCTTCAGGTGACGAATCTGTTCATTTTTATTATAATGGACCAGGGTCCCATCTGCCTGTTCAGGTGGACATTAGATATGCCTTGGCACTATTTGAAAAGGAAGGGATTTTCTCCCAGTGGCCAATAATCCGGCCAAAATTGGTCAGCTGTTCTTGGGATGTTGCTGAACATATTGTCTGCCACAAATACAATCACTACACTTTACGTGAAAATGAAGCACTTTGTGATGTTTAGTATAATAAGATGTGATATTAAAAGCAAGAATTATTATTTATATATTGCATTTATGAGCTGGATTTAGAACATCGTGAAATAGGTTAGTTGTACCCTCATGATGATGTGTTATTGCAATAGTAATCCTTAGAGGTCCATTAATACCAAGGTGGGATTTTAGTGCATTGCTGCCAGTCATATGAAATATAAAAGGATAAATGCATTTTGATAGCACTTATGCTTCAAAATATTTCAGTTATTTACCGTCAAGTGTACTGAATGTGCTTTGTTGGCAAATGCAGCTCTACTTAAACAGAGACTAAAGTATCTATCCACTGGCCCACAAACAGCTAGGAGGTGAATGATCAGTTTGCATGGAGGATTGTTGGCCAGAGCAGCGAGAGAAACTCTCAACTCTTTTAAATAGTGCCATGGGATGTTTTGGAATTGGTAATATGTCTTCAACTCTGTAATGGTACCGTTTGTATAACCTGTAAGCAGCATGCTGGTGATATAAAAGCCACCTCAAAGCATTTCACAAAATATATATTGTAAAGTGGATTGACTGCAATTTGTGGGTGAAATGCGGCAGCCAACTGCTCACAGCAATGTCTCAAAGAGTCATGGATTGAGTGACCCAATTTTTTTTGAAGGAATATTACCCCCGGAAAGCAATCCATCAATCAACTAACAACTGGGTTCTTAATTACTGCTAGGTAAACAGGCGAGGGGAGCAAGGATACCTGCCTAAGGTATTGCTTTAGCCCTGCCCGGTAATCGAACCTGGGTCCTCTCGCAATCGAGGGGAGCGCGCTAGCCACTGTGCTACAGCTCTCCACAAAATCAAATCAAACCATTTTGCTGAGCCTATCAGCTATCATTTCTACGATTTTCTTTGGTATCACATGAGCAGCAAGCTTGAGGATTGCCAATTAATTGGATACCTTTTTTNGAGTCTTTTGTTTATTAAAGCACTTATATCTTGCTGTCAGTCAAATGCCTTTATTTGTCCGACTGCAATTTCCAGTTAAGATGTTTTGCTCTTTGGCTTCCAAAAATGTTTCCTCAGGTGTATTAGCAGACATTATCACTGGTATCTATTGCAATATGTTGGTTCTTGAAATCATGAAATCACTGCATCTTGAAGATGACAACCTATTGACTGCTGAGATGTCCTTTATTTTAACAAGTAGCATGAGAGTGTTTCAAAGTGATGTGACTGTGTATCGTACAAGCAAATACAGCAGCCAATTTGCACACAGTAATGTCGCACAAACACCTTGAAGTAAATGACCAATGCCACTAGATCTTTAACATCCACCTGAGTGGGCAATCAGGACATCAACTGAAGATGATCTCCAACAATGAAGCACATCTCGCAGCCTTGAATTAGAGGGTCAGCCTAGACCTTATGAGTTCAGAATCCTGTTGTGGAGCTTGATCCCACAACACAAAATCTTGCATTTATACAGCAGAGGGCACAAGGAACATGCAGAAGGCCAGAGCCAGTCAAGCAGAGACTGTGAGTTGGGGGGTAAGCAGGTCAGAGAGGTAGGGAGGTGCCAGGGCATGAAGGGATTTGAAAATGAGTGGGAGATTCTTCAAGTCAGTGAGTTTGGCGATAGGGAGCCAGTGGAGTCTGGCTGGATCTGGTGTGATGACATACGGAGTTTAGTAGAGTGAGTAAGTGGGTGGCAGAGTTTTGGATCAGCGGGATTTTGTGGATGGTGGAGTGGAGCTGGGGAGATCGGCAAAGAGGGCATTTGAATAGTCATGGCAGAAGGTCACGAATGCATGGACGAGTGTTTTGGCTGCATCTGAAGTAAAGTACGTTCAAAGGCGGGCAATGTGACGGAGGTGGAGGATGGTGGTCTTGGTCAGGGACAGGATGTGGATTAGGAAGGACAGCTGTGGGTCAAACCTGATGCCTTGGTTGCGCACCCTTCTGACTCATAGGAGAGAGTGCTGCTAACCGAGCCAAATTGGCACTTAGTCTGAAGCAGATGAACCTTATCAATTATTGTGGATCTTTCGTTGGCCATATTGTACACTTGAGTGGTACCTTTATGCATAGTTTTGATAATAAAATTGAGCAATTTTAAAGTAGATAAGTTTTAAAAATAGTCAACTGATTTGAATTCCTAAGGTTGTCATAAGCTGAATCCCATCCCCCCCCCCCACCCTGCATTTCAGCCAAGTAGATTCCAATTGATTGTAAGCTTGAGCTTCAGAAGACACCACCCAGTGGTTGACTGTGGTATTTGCTCTTAATTACATGCTCCTTTAGGAACTGCACCACCATTGTTTCTGCCATTTCCAAAGATGATTTATCCTATGGCAAAGAGAATGATCTAATTGGGAGTTATTTAATGGTGGGGAGGAAAGGAAAAATCAGCAACATGTTCTTGAAGGCTTGCATTCTCTAAATCGATAAGGAACATCACTATTGATGGTCACGAGAAAGTCCATCACTCCTCCGACTGTCTACTTCTGACTGTAGGAAGACAAGATCGATTTAGGAAGCCAGGAGTGGAAGATACAGCAAAGGGGAAATCATACACCATCAACAGAATAGGATTGAATACATTCAATTTATTATGTTAAAATAATTTCTTCGTAAAGAGTTCACAGTCTTTTTTATTGGACCTGCAATTGCAACAACTTGCAATTATGTTAGCCCTTTCACACAGGATAATGTTTTGGAGCACTTGGATATCAAGCTTAAAATAATTCATTTTGAATCATTTAAACCTTTCTATTACTAGAGGTCTCCTAAATTGTCTGTGTTCGATTGTTTTCAAATTCATAGTTTTTTGCACAGCTATTCAGATTATCTTTATTGATGTGTACGGTTTCTTAATTGGCTATTAACATAGAAATATAGAAATCTATAGTGCAGAAGTCGTCCGCACTGACTCACAGAGTAAGGAGTTCTAGATTTGTCTCTCAATTCAACTCCACAGCTCCACCTTATTCCTATGCCCTTCAAGTGCCTCTTTGATCATATACCTGTCTATTTCCCTGTTGAAAGCTACAAATAGCATGAGGTATTTTAGATTTATTTAGGTGATATTGATAGGAGCTATAGTTATCCCAATTCTATACTTTGGAAATTGGGAAGGCTTTTGCGAAAAATTGCTTCATGCACCCATAAAATGTACAGTCAATTCACTTTACAGTATATTTTATGAAGCTCTTTGAGACGTCTCATTGATGTGATAAGGTCCCTATATCAAATACAAGGATTATTATTTTATTATTGTGCGAGTGGTTAAAATTAAAATGACTCGTGGTTTCTGATCACCCTTGGAAGTCTATTAGCAAGCACTAGTTTACTCATCAAAGTAAGGAATTATTCAACTGGAGAATGTTACATTTTCTCTGCTTGTCAACCATTGACAGAATCAAAGCTATACAGGTCAGGTATGACATGGTTCAGACACATGGGAGATTTTCTCTTCATTGTTCTGGTGTATTTAAGCTCCATAAAACACCTCCCACTGTTACAGTGTGGCAATTTGATTTCAGGCTAATTGTAGGCCATAGAGTTGCAGTCAATGAAACTGAGAGAACTTATTTCAACCTGTGACCTCCAGCAGCTTTCAGGGAGAAAAAAGAGACTTTCATCCTATGTGTCTGTGCTGAATTCATACCCAAGTCCGCTTCTAACATACTGTGCCAACTGATAACTCGGAGATGGGGTGTGTCTAAACATTTTCACAGCGTTAGTATGATGAACAGCAGCAATCGATACAATTGTCTCCAAGGTAACTGCTTAATATTTTTGTTTTGTTTATGTTTCCAGATGGGGTTCATTCAGCTTAATGAAGAATTTATATTTATTGAACCTCTCAATCACACCTTGGCTGTAACAGGATACGCCCACCGTGTATACAGGCGAAAGAGGTCTATGGATGAGAAATCTGCAGAAAAACTTATCTCACAACCATCCTGCGGAGTGTTTACAGGTACAGCAGATTTTTATTTCACTCTATTTCTTATTTTTTCCTAAAACTAAGTCGTTTTTGTCTTGTTTTCGTCTACATATAAACAGTCACAATACTTTAGTACACTCTTAAATTCTGTGAAGCATTTTGAGACGCTTTGATGCTTTGAAAAGGCACTTTATCAAATGCTTCCCATTTGGATGTTCCCTCCTTTTATTCCCGAGTTATCTCATCCTTTATCCATTTGATCTGCTATTTCTGCAAATGAATAGATTCGGCGTTACCTATTTCCAAGTGCAGCAGTACAGCTACTTGACAAGGAATCTCTGCCTGCATAATTTTAATGTGAATTCATTTCTGAATGAATGCCCTATTGTCTGGAGAATGTACGAACATAAATATATCTCCCAGTATTTAAATTTAAAACATCATTATATGAACTGGAGATACAAAGTTTATAGTTCTGAAATGTTGAATTTTCTTTCAGTTTTAACACACAACTATGATATATTAAATACTGGTTGTGCTTGTGATTTCTTTGAGAAATTGATGCAAAATCTTAAACAGTAGGAAAATATTACTGATGTAAAATATAACAATGTGATCTTTGGTAAAGTACCTCATGTCTAGAGGATGTTTCAAAGTGCTTCAAAGGATATAAGCTGCAGTGACTATGTATTTTTGTGGGCGAATCAGGGCATCTAATTTACGAATCGCAATGTCCCACAAACAGCCATGATGTGCACGAACACAAGACAAAATCAAAGAGATGCCTGCTTTCATTGAGTCTCAACATTGTCACCGCAGGGGAGATGCGCAAATTAGGTTTAAAGTTTCACCGTTAGCAAAACTATGCAGGTCTGGGTAAAATTCAAGTGAAACCGAGCCTACAGATTATAAGGTTCTAAGTACAATTCCCAGTCTTTGCTGACTTATGTGATCACTGGCTCCTGGAGAAAAATCCACCAGCATTCCTGTTCCTGATCACTATCCAGTCTCCTGCTGGAAAGAACTCGTGTGCAAACATCAGATGAAGTTTGGATCAAACTTCACTGTGATGGTCTCTTTGGTTGAATAACTTGCTGACACTCAAGGCTTACAGATGAAGAATGGCGCACTTGAGCAAAGTACAGAAGTGCGGTTGGCACCCATGCAACAATATGTCAGCATAAGTCAGTGTCTGATAAGAGGGCAGAAAAATGGAAGGTGAAAAGCAGATGCAAAAAAANCATTTCAATGGTTTCATTGTAATAGCCTTTTGGAATTTGGTAAAAAATAGTGTTGAGACTTGAATTTAAAGCCCTGTCTGCAATATTGTGTGTTTTTTATCCTAGACTTGAACTCTTTCATTGGCCTGAATTTTGTATAATTTTGATGTGCCATTGCGAGCATGTTAAATAGAATGAGCTATGACATAATTTTTTATTTTATGTCACTTTTAACATGTATTTGCCATAATGGGGTCTAAAATGTGGGATTTCTAAAGGGAACATCTCAAATGCACAGTCCCTATGCCTTACAGTAAATCTTGTGAAATGTTTTGAAATGTCTTGACGACATACTACATACTACATCAAATGAAAACATTTATTTTTATCCTGTAAATCCTGAGAAGTGCTTTGATACATTTTAGCAATATTTTAAGGTTCTCTGTCTAATGCAAGAATTTTTATTATTATTAACAATAATCCTTGCATTTGAATTCAAGATCCTCATCCTCACCTACAAGGCCATTCACAGCCTTGCTCCCTCCTACCTCTCTGACCTACTATCCCCCTACTTACCTGCCCGTACCCTCCGTTCCTCTGGCTCCGGTCTGCTCCACATCCCCCTCCCCAACCGCCCTATCATCGGTGGCCGGGCCTTCAGCCTCTCAGCCCCTAGGCTCTGGAACTCCATCCCCCAGTGCCTTCACCTTGCTTCCTCCCTTTCCTCCTTCAAGGCCAGTCTCAAGACCTTTCTCTTTGACCGTGCCTTCAACTCCCCTCTCGACTCTCTACCCCCTCCTCACTCCCTCCCTTCCCTCCCCCTGACCATTTCCCCCCTGCTCGGGTCCTGACCCAACTGTACAGCACCTTGGGATGTCCTCCCGACGTGAAAGGCGCTCTATAAATGGAATTTTGTTGTTGTTGCATTTCATAAAGCGCCGTATTATGATGTCGAGATATCTGAAGGTGCTTTGATTGTGTGCATTTTGTGGGCAAATGCGGCAATTTGCACATATTCAGTGTTCCATAAACAGCTATGGGATTGTTGGCCAGGACACTGGAGAAACTCCCTTCTCTTTTTGAATAGTACCATGGGACCTTTAACATCCACCTGAACAGGCAAAAGTGACTTCAGCTTAACACCTCATCTGAAGAATGTCATCTCCATGCAGCACACTCCCAGCACTGCATCGCCGTGTCAGCATAGACAATACGGGTTCCATGGTCCAAATTGGGGTTGAACGCACAACCTTCTGATTTAGAGGGAGGCAAAGTGCTACCAACTGAGCCAGGATATTCCCCTTTTAAGGAATCCCATTTGAAATTCCGACCAACCCATGGAATCTGGTTCAGAAGTTGATCATATCAGAGCGAAGTTATAGAGGAGCAAGATAGGTTATCAAAACATATCCCCAATTGTGGGTCTTTGATTCCTTACTAAGGAATTCTGTCAAACAATCCCACGGCGGAAAATAGTGACCTCTGTTGTGTTAATTTACACATTGGTGTTGATTAATCCATCATTGAAAAAGTGAGTCGGTCAATGTTTTAATTTCTCATCTCTTTCACTGTGTGTGACCTTCTCCCACTCCACCGCCCCACCAACTCCATCACAATGGTTAGGCCTCAAGCAACTGCTTAGCTCATTGGACTACTGGCATTCGATCCCAGTATTGGAATGCCAGTTAATGAGACATCAGTTTAACTGAAGAAAGAAAGTCAGAGCCTGACAGGCATTATGGACAACTTCAGATCTAGCTATTGTGATGGAACCAGGGTTTGCACACATGTACAGACCAAAGGATCGAAACATCAACTGGCAATACATTTTCAATGATGTGTTAATTAATTTTCAGCCTTCCCTCCCATTTTAGACTTATTTAATAATAATAATCCTTGCATTTGATATAGTGCCTTATCACATCTTCGAGACAGAATATATTGTCAAGTGAATTGACTGTATTTTGTGGGCAAAACTATATTGCTTGAGCACAAATTTGAAACAAGCAGAATCAACTAGCTTCAATGAGAATCCAATAGGAATGATGAAAAAAATGATGAAAAAATGATGAAAAAAATAATTTCTTCTGGGTACTGTAGTGCAGTAGTCTCTTATTTGTTCTAGTCAACCAGTAGACAGGGGCTCTCTGTCATGAACACAAATCACAAGATTAATCTGATTTATTTGGAATGACATTCGAGTAAGCACATGAAAGGATACATAATAGCATCATTTTGGATGGAGATTAGAGCAATTATTGCCTTATTAATGTTCATTATCAGCCTTCGCTGGGGTAATGGGCTCCTACATCCAATAATTAGTTAAATGTATGAATGGAGGTATTATAAATAAAGATATAGTATCCTTCTAGTTCAAAGATATTTAGTAGAATTCAAAACCATCCAAAAACTGCACAGTATTTCTTTTGTAACTCTCTCAGACCTTTCTAGTAATACAGTTGCTGTACTGGTATGAATTGTCCTCACCCTAAAAAAGATGGTGATTTGTTCAGCATGCATGCCAGAAGTGTAGCTGGCGTCTATCTTAGAAAAGAGGAAAATAATGTGGTTTACCTTAAAGGATAGATGAATTGAAAATTTTAAAAAATTTAAAGAAAATGGCTTCCATCTGGAAAGGAAAAGAAAACATATATTAACTCACTCCTTCCCCTGTCTACCCAGATTCTGATTGCCCGTGGAGTTGTTATCTCTCTTAATTCCAATAAACATGTGAAAATGGAAATGATCAAGTGTCAATAAATTGGGTTTCAATAATTATTTTGATCTGTCAATAAAAGGTCAAAAACAACTGTTTTTGTCTGTACAGTAGGAGATATTATAATAATGAAACCTGATCACATGAGAAAGACACCTGAATGCGCTTCATAAGATTTACTGTGAAATGAAGTGACTGCGTATTTTTAGGCAAACGCGGCAGCACAATTGGGTATGCAATATCCCACAAGCAATCATGAAACAAGTGACCGATTTTATTCGGGGTGATTGTTGTCCAAGACCCTGGGAGAGAGAGACTACTTTCTCTTTTTGAATAGTGCCATAGGATCTTTAACTTCCACTTGAACAGGCAGAAGGGACCTTGGTTTAACATGTCATCTGAACGACGACACCTCCGACAAGAAACTTCCCCCCCCCGGCACTGCATTGAAAAGTCAGCTTAGACTATGGGTGTTCAAGTACCAACATGGGATTTGAACCCATAACCTTCTGACTCTGAGGCGAATGCTGCCACTGAGTCAAGCTGACACAATAATAAATAATATACAATGCAATTTACATTTATATAGTGGGATTCATGTTGAGAGGATGTCTCAATATATTTAGAGGTGAACATGGCTGTCATGAAGTAAGTGGCCATTTTTTTAACCTGGAGGGTTGTTGGCTAAAACACTAGGAGAAGAAACCCCTTTCTTTGGGAATTCTTTCTTTGCCATGGGAATTTTAATGTCCGCCCAAAGAGACAGATAGGATCTCAGTAAAATGTGACCAATTTGGCAACCTGTTTTTAGTTAATGAAATCCAAAGTGCTCCATGGTCATGAGTAGTGGTCTTCTGGCCAGAGGCTTTGGGCCTAAATTGTTCTCCCAATTATCTCATCTCACTCCTATCCTCTCTTTGCAAGCGAGAGACCTGAGTTCATTTCCAGGCAGATCAGGGCGAAACCTTGGGCAAGTTTCCTTACTCCACACGCCTAATAATAATCCCTCCAAAACCCAAAACAATAATAAATTGGTTATTTTCAATCTACGGCTGTTTGTGGGACATTGCTGTGCGCAATTGGCTGCCGCGTTCGCCCACAAATATACAGTCAATTCACTTTACAGTGTGTTCTGTGAAGCGCTTTGGGACGTCCTCCCGACGTGAAAAGCGCTATATCAAATGCAAGGATTATTATTATTATATTATTATCCTAAAAGTACTGATTTGTACTTAGGTTTGCCTTTAATTGCCGAAAGTTGGAGAGGAAACTGATAGTCCTGGGTTTACATCCAGTACATAGGAAGAGGGCAAGTGCTCTTCAGGCTTTGCTGCCAGTAACTAATATAATCTAATTCTATAGTAACTAATGCCGTACAGTTTTGAATGCAACGGTCAACAAAAAGGTTACCATTTGCTGCCACTGACACACCATCGTAAATGTTTCATTTGTTTTACAGAAAAAAGAAAGACCAAAGCTCGGAAACAAGCGGACACTGGAAGAGGAAAGAGATACACATATAAATTATCCCATGACTATAATGTTGAGACCCTGGTTGTTGCGGACACTGCAATGGTCAACTATCATGGAGCGGATGCAGTCAGAAGGTTTATTCTGACTGTGATGAACATGGTGAGGTTAAATTGTAGCTGACATAACTTTATCTTGAATTCTTGAAAGACCAGTAAACCAAGTAAAAAAGTATAATGTTATTTATCTATTGTTATTCCAAAACTTTGGATTGAACCACACTTTGAACTGTTGATTCCATATGGTCACCGAATGCCCCACTTTGATACCGAGGGTGAAGATTATTGAGGGGTTCAGTTTTGTGAAATGTCAAAGGTTGGAATCTTGAGGGAATTTGGGAAGAGAGTTCCAGCTAATGGTGGCAATGGTGGCTAAAGGCTTGGTGGGTTGGAGCTTAAGTAATTTATTGCTATCAGAACATTTTAATTAACATTCTTTTATTGTCAAATTCCAGTTATACTGTTCATTTCAGTTGTCAAAGGTGATTAATGCTTGCAAATATCTTTGCATCTGCTTTAAGCGTTTTGCCTTTTTTTAATTCAAACTTTTCTTTTATGGTTTTTAAGGTGTTCAATCTATTCCAGCACAAAAGCCTGGGCATACAAATGAACCTTCGGGTGACAAAACTTGTTCTGCTTCACGAGACCCCGGTAGGTAAAGTATAACTTGATTCAACACAAGGTATTAATGAAGTGTCAGTTTGCACACAATCTTGAGCAGCAGTAGCTTGGGTGCCTCAGTAATGTGAGCTGTAAAATAAGGGATTGCCTCGTACATAGCAGCTGTCCCATAACTTAAACCCAGTGATCTCCTTGTGCGCCTCCTGTACATGCATGTTCTTGTAATACTTGCTCTTGAACAGGTTTAGAGTTTGTACCTATCCGTTAGTCAATATTAAATGAACTGTTTTGACTTGTCACCATTGTTCAGTGGAATTAAAATACATTTTTTCACAAATACTTTTGCATTTGTCAGTCGTAGATTGATATTATCTTGGTTTGTGACAACAAACTTTCTTTGTTTTATTGCCACAAACTTTTATGTGATGTAAAACGGTGTAGTTTTGTCAACTGGTGTCTATTTCTGGTTTTGCTCTGGTTTTGCCCTCTTCAGAAAGGGCTACAATGAATTCTGAGTGAATTTGGTAAAATATTAATAGTGATAATCCTTCCATCAGGAATTCATCTTGAAACTCTTCCCAGGATTTACAGTAAGGTTTAGCAAGTAGTGTATGTATTTTGTAGGTGAACGTAACAGCAAATATACTCAGAGCAATGTCCCACAAACAGCGATGAAGTGAATGACCAGTTTTATTGGGTGATTGTTAGTAAGGACATCAGGAGAAATTCCCTTTTCTTTTTGAGTAGCGCCATGAGATCCTTAATGTCCACAGGCAGTTCTGTTCAACATCTTATCTGAAGGACGGCATCTCCAACAATACAACACACTCCCAGCATTGTGTTCAAGTGTCAATCTAGACTGTGTGAATTCAAAGTCCTGATGTGGAGCTTGAACCCACAACCTTCTGACACAGTGAGAAGAATGAAATAAACAGACAAGAACTAAAATTGTCATGTTAATGCAGGCTTTTGCTTGTCAGCACTGATAATGTCATCTTGATGATCTAGAAAAGAACCCCGCACAATGCCACTTTTCATATTCCACCACTATCCACTTGTAATGTACTGAGAAACAAAATGTGCAAAATAATCCTCAGTACAAACAAGTGATAGTGTTTCTCAGCTCGTGCCTTGTCCCTGCCTGTCAAAAGAGTTTGTAAACTGGCAGATAACTCTTTGACAACATTTACATTCCCTATTTCAATCAATTTTTTTAACTGAGCAGTTTTATTTCCAACCACCCCTGTCCTCGTGCCCTGAAGGTGTTTGAGTTTCTCCCCCAAAGTATACAGTCAATACATTTTACAGTATATCCTGTGTAGAGCTTTGAGATGTCTCAAGAAACTATATCAAATGCAAGGATTATTATTATTATATTATTACTCTTTCCTAGTCCTGGAGATAGTGCTTCATGAGCACTGGTCATGCCCAAATAGTAGTATAGCGCTCCCAATACTGACCCGGCTAAAGTCATCAAACCTGGGCACCTGTAGTGTTAAAAATTTGGATGATTCAGTGACTTGCCAGGTAAACTCCCTTGCAGTCTGTAAAATCAGTTTCAAGCTAAAAGTGTTAAAATATAGTAATTTTTCAAAGTGTAGATGGATAGAGTTACGTTTACCTTGCAGTGTGACAGCACAAAGGCATTTTGTGCTCATGCAATTCTATCTCCCGCCCCCGGCACCAGGTTTACCTGTGACTGGTATCTTTACTGCGCCCTTCCCCCTGTCCTTCCCTCTCCCACCCCCTACTCCTCCCTCTCCTTTTATTCCTTGTCAGGTATGTAGAGCAGGTTTGTTACAAAGAACAAGGTGATTTTTTTCTTCACTGCAACATCCGCTTTGTTTTCACACGTTAAGCTGTCTTGAATGCTTGTGGGGCAGGGAGCATTGAGTTCAATGTTTGTGGTCATTCTTACTCATATATATATAAATAGCTGATTTTTATCGCTATTTAAGGTGTGACACTGGTGAATAAGTTAAACTTCTGGCGAGTTGCCTAGTTTAACTTAATAGAGTTCAAAAATCTGTCAGAAGTATATTTCAATCAAGCTTTGAACTGTTCAGCCAGCAATGCTAAAGCCTACTTTGTGTCACTGGCTAAAGTAGATTGTTAGCAACATTCTTCAAGATGTGTCCTTGACACACAAATATGTTTTTAGAAACTAAAATCACTAATTTAGTACAGTCCCTTTAATGTAAGGAAGATGTCTGAAAGAGTTTTACAACATTTACTGTGAAATGTAGTGACGTTAAAGATCCCATGGCACTACTTGGAAGAGGTTTCTCCCGGTGGCCTAGCCAACAATCCCCCAATCACTCACCTCATGGCTAGTTGTTGGACATTGTTGTACACATAATTGGCTGCCGCATTTGACTACCAAACACATAATCACTACTTTTAGCAATAAATCCCGTGAAGTGCTTTGAGACATCCTCCCGAACTGAAAGGCGCAATATCAAATGTAAGGATTACTAGGATGATTTTAATAAGAAATGTTTAATTATCAAATCTCTAAAATATCAAAACCGCCTTCAGTAATATTTCAAAGATTCGACAATACACATTTCTTAACTCTTGTTAAGAGTTAAGAACTCTATCCCATTTCTTATCTTTTGTTAAGAAATAGGATAGTGTCTCACATAAGATGACCGCCACTGCAAAACAGACCTCAATGATCTCAGTTAATTTGATTTTAAGTAAAAAGTAGGTTCAAGCAAATGAAATGTTCTGACTTTTGCAGGAAGACCTTTATATAGGCCATCATGGAGAAAAGATGCTAGAGAGCTTCTGTAAATGGCAACATGAAGAATTTGGAAGAAAGAATTATCTCCACAGTGATATGTCCAGTAGCTGGAGGGAAGATCTGCCAGCTGTTGATTCAGCTATCTTGATAACAAGGTGAGGACAATACTAATGTATGTTTTACATGGTATAATTTCAGACCTTTTTTATTGCATCGTTTTATATCGACTTTGTGTGCAGAAATTCTGTTAAAATGTATTCAGCACAGAAAAACCTGGACAGCAATCTTTGAGAGTTATTAGACAAAGCAGTGTTGGGATTTGGACACGAGACATTCCGCACCTCTCAAGCCGTTAACTCACCTTTGGCAAAGTAGGTAATAATGTGACTTACATTGCTATTTAAGGTGTGGAAAGATACTGGTGGAGAATCAATTAAACCTCTGGAAAATTGCTTAGTTCAACTCAATACAGTGCCCGCTTTATAATTAATAGGCAGCAAAGCAGGAAATATTAAAGGATTCCTATTGTTCATCCCTCTAGGATTGTGAGACGTGACTAAGCTTCTTTCCAACCAACACAGAAGCTTTCAGAAAAATCCCATGATCTGAATGCATATTTTGGTTGGAACACAGACAGTGTGTTGCTGTTTCCCTGGTTTGGAAGTTACTGCCATTCAAATATGTCTTGAACCTCAGGAGGATTTTTTNCATTTTATGGGTTTGAGGTTTGAATAGTCACTGCCACTATGCCTCTGGCCATATGTGATCATAAACGACTAGGAAACTCTTCCTTCCTGTTGGCTTCTTTAATTGCAGGGCTTCGTCTCCTTGCAGCTGTCAGTTTATAAACCTGCTCGAAATGATTTACGAATTTTCTTTTGGCCTTTGTGGAATAGCATTTTTGAATAGCACAGCCTGAATTAGATAGGTAAAGAAAATTGAGTCTGATAGCTTTGCAGAATTACGAAACAAAATATATAATAAACTAAATACAGGTAAACTCGCATAAGTTGTCTTATTATAAATAGTATAATTGCTTAAGTTGTTCATACACTTGAATTCCATTAATTTTCCTACCTAAAACCATTCAGATTTCTTTGCATTGGTCGTACTTTACACGTTGGTTAAACGGCAAAATCATAACAGTTTGTTGGTCCCAAATTATCTTAAATCCTAATGCAAATCATCTCCTAACTCGTATTGCTGAAACCACACTTACCTGCTGCATTGATGAAGTACCGAATGCACAGTGCTGTGTTTGAAACAAGAGCGGGAAACAAGGTCATGAACCACCAACAGGGCGCTGTAAAAACCCAAAGATAGCTTGAGGTACTGCACTTATTCTTTGCTTAAGAGTGTCAAGTGGACATCTGTGCAATAATGTAGACATTTAAATAGTCTTTTTAACAAAAGAAGCTCGGAAGGCACTAACGTGGTGTCACAAAAAAAAACTTTACATAACTTTGCGTAAGTCGAGGTAAATTTGGCTGTAACTCATACTTTGAATAAGTCGTACTAAATATGATCCTGACTTATACGAGTTTACTTTTAGCTGTGAGGAATGGAAGTTACACAGAGGAAAGTTGTGGTTCACCACAATGAGAGTGCACACTCTGTTTCAGACAAATGGAAACCACATATCTGGGGAATTCTCAGTGGTTTGGTTTGGAGACTCCTCTAATAATAATATTGCTATTATTGCCAAGCCAGGATTGTTACACATCTTGGGATGACCTCCCAACGTGATAGACACTATATGAATGTCAATTTTGTATTGTATTTGAAATAGTACCTGATCATGTTGTCAAGGCATTACAAAGCATTTCACAGGATACATTGTAAAGTGCAGTGACTATTTTTGTAGGTGAACATGGCAGCCAATCTGTGCCCAGCCAAACAACCATCGAGTGAGTGACGCACTCCTCGCCGGTCTCCCCAGCTCCACTATTCAAAAAATCCAGCTCATTCAGAACTCTGCTGCCCTCATACTGACCCGGACCAAACTCCGTACCCACATCTCACCAGTTCTGGTCAGGCTCCACTGGCTCCCCATTACCGAACAGATTGACTTCAAGATCCTCACACTTGTGTTCAAATCCATTCACTCCCTGGCACCTCCCTACCTCTCCGACCTCCTCACTCCACAAACCACCACCTCCGCTCGACTGGCACCGGCCTCCTGCTCGTCCCTAACGCTCTCCGCTCCACCATCGGAGGTCATGCTTTCAGACACTATGCCCCAAAACTCCAGAACACTCTCCCTCAATCCCTCCGCCTTAACTCTCTCTCCCCCTTTTCAGGTCCCGCCTGAAAACTTCCTTTTCGACCGTGCTTACGATCACCTCCCCCCACTCCCCCACTCGGCTCGGAGTCAGGCTGCGCTACTGTTAAGCGCTCTGAGACACTACTCTGCGTGGAGGGCATTATATGAGTGCAAGTTGTTGTTGACCAATTTTATTTGGGGAATTGTTGGCCAGGACACCGGGAAAACTCTTAAGCATGGTGATGGCTGTCTGCATGTGTCATATACCCAGTCATTTTTTAAAAAATGATTATTAATAGAAAGCCAATTTACAGCAAGAGCAATCTAAGTACATTTTTCCTTAGCTTTGTTAGAAATATCATTTTAAAAACTAGATAAGCCTTTAAGTTGGGTAGACATATATTGAAAATCAGAATGTGGCAAACAATGACTGGAAAAATGGCATGTTCAGTCATTTTACTGGGAAATCTATAATATAAATTGTGGTTACAATGACCAATGTTATGAAGGAAATCAAAACATTGTTGACAGAACCCACTTAGATTAGATGGGAAACATCCTAGAAACCTCGAGGCAATGAACGAGTAATAGACAAGGCTGCAGTTTTAGGAGCTCCTTAAAAACACAGATAGAGTAATAACCCTTGATCCTTTTGTTTTTATAATAAGAATATCTCAAAGCTCTTCACATAGTTTCTAGAAAAGGGGAGTGATTGTCCATTTGTAGGTGGAAATGACAGCCAATTTGCACACAGTGAAGTCCCACAAACAGCCAGTGAAGTGAATAACTAATCTTATCTAGGGGATTGTTGGCTAGAATACCAGGAGAAACCCCCTTCCCTTTTTGAATAGTAGCTTGGGATCTATAGTGTCCACTTGAACAACAACAACAAGATTTCATTTATAGAGCGCCTTTCACGTCAGGAGGACGTCCCAAAGCGCTGGACAGTTGGGTCGGGACCCAAGCAGGGGGGAAATGATCAGGGTGAGGGGAGGGAAGGGAAGGGAGGGAGCGAGGAGGGGGGAGAGAGTCGAGAGGGGAGCTGCAGGCACGGTCGAAGAGAAAGGTCTTGAGACCGGCCTTGAAAGAGGAAAGGGAGGAAGCAAGGCGAAGGCACTGGGGGATAGAGTTCCAGAGCCTGGGGGCTGAGAGGCTGAAGGCCCGGCCACCGACGGTAGGGCGGTTGGGGCGGGGGATGTGGAGCAGACCGGAGCCAGAGGAACGGAGGGTACGGGCAGGTAAGTAGGGGGATAGTAGGTCGGAGAGGTAGGAGGGAGCAAGGCCGTGAATGGCCTTGTAGGTGAGGATGAGGATCTTGGATTTGATCCTCTGGGGGATGGGGAGCCATGGAGGCGAGCGAGGGTGGGAGTGATGTGGTCGCGAAGCCTGGTGTGGGACAGTACACGAGCTGCAGAGTTCTGAATGACCTGCAGCTTGTGGAGGGAGGTGCCGGGAAGGCCGGCGAGGAGAGTTCCCATAGTCCAGCCTTGAGGTGATAAAGGCGTAGACCAGTGTTTCAGCAGCGTGAGGGGTGAGGTAGTGCCATAGTCTGGCGATATTCCGGATGAGGATCTTGAATTCGAGACGGGCAGACAGGACCTGGTTTAGGGGATTAGATGTACATGTTTGGTACAGTAAGTCAAGAGAATATAATTTATAAAATGGGTGGGGAGGAGAGCAAAAGGAAGGATAATCTTCCTTTCAAAGAGTGATACTGTGGGTCGCATGGCTGGTTTTGGTTCGATCTATTCCCTTTTCTCTGACTGATAGGTCGATAGCAAAATGTGTTGAGTTTTTTGACAAAGAAACACAGAATTTTTCAAAATTTCTTAAATTAAGAAATCCAGTTAAGAGAATTTCATTTACAGGGACACTAGGTGATGTGAGTGTACAATCATAGGGAACCTGAAATAACCTGATACACAAAACATGAAGAAAGTGACATCAGCAGTGATCTGATGACCTGGAAGTCAGTTAGATTTACCCTGGGAAGCTTGGTGTACTGTTGGCCAGAGAAAATCCCTCCATTTGTGGAAGCATTTGTAATGTTCTCAAAAAAGTGAGCAGTGTGAATCTGAATGTCCTCAGTCAGCTTGGGATGTCTGATTGGATTTGGTGATTTCCAAAAGTCCAAAAACTCTCAGCAAAGTGCTGAGAGATAGCACTTTGCTCTCAGGCCTTCTTCTGCATTTTGGCAGCTTTCACAGAACATTAACCCCAATCTGACCCATCAGGTCATCTAAGGAAGCCTTTGTGAATATCTCAAGTTAGGGCCTCAATATCATATCAACAGAAATGAAAGAAATAACCACATACTACTTCAATCTTTGACATGTTAAATTCTTTACAAAATCCGTTTATAAAGATTCAGGTGTTGCGAGCTACCTTTGGTTCTCATTGTTAATGCAAAATGAGTTACAGAACAAATTAACAATTGTTATGTGGTTGGATTGGGATGAAAGACTTGAATTAAGTCTTATCTTGAGTCAAAGCCATCCTATGCCGAGGGCCGGCAATTGCACCGTCTTCAGTGTGAGTATATCAAATTATCCATTTCCCATTCTTACCCCCCAAAAAGAGTCCTTGGTTTTCTATATAAAAAAAAGGCTCAATGTACAACCATGTTGAAATTGTACTGTTTATGACCATTGGGCCACACTGTGTTAGATGAGCTGAGCTGGTTGTTTTTCACCACCCATGCGTTTGAGTATTGATGTTATGAAGGGCAAGGCACAAAAGAGATAGCTATAATGAGATCTGCCTGCACCTGCATGATGGAACATAAGATACATTTCATTTTCTTGCAAAAGGATAAGTATTTTGGGTTGGTGCCCAAGATATGTTGAAATGTGCTGAGTCGGCAAAGTGCTGAAGTCAGACAATGCTTTAGCTTTTCTATGTCTTGCTAGTATCTCATTATAACACACAGTTGAAGTGTCATTGACCAATGGTTGCTGTAACTTTACATTGTAAACCAGTTATCCTGAGGTAGTTAGAGAAAAGTATGTTATGCTCCAACAACTCACTAACAAATTGCGTGTGTCAACCTTGCTCATTTGGCACTCTCTCTGAATCAGAAGATTGTGGGTTTAAGCCCCAAGTTGGAACTTTGATCTCATATAGTCTTGGTTGGCACTCCATTGTAGCGCTGTCATCACGGCTGCTTGTGGGATATTGCTGTGTGCAAAATTGACATGTTTACCGACAAAATATACATCTACTACACTATATAGTATATTCTGTGATGCGCTTTGAGTTAGTCTTCCTAAACGAAAGGTGCTATAGTAAACACAAAGCTAATTTTTTTAATGATGGTTCAAACTAATTTTTTCTCTCTTTTGTTTCTAGAAAAGATTTTTGCGTACAGAAAGATGAACCATGTGATACTGTTGGTAAGTACAAATGTATTAGCATTGATTAATATTTTTGCCGTGAAGCTTTTAACTACCATTATATTGAAATATGCAATTTACAGCAATTTACATTTAAGAAAACTTTACAGTTGCACCTAAATTAGGGTAAGAGCAAGTAACTTATTAGAGAAGATAATTATAGTGAAATGCTATACTTTACTTACGTACACCTATAACTGTGCCTTTAGAATATCTTTGCCCAAATATTGTCTGACACAGATGCCTATTTTTCTTTCATGAATGTCATAATTGGGCCATTTTTTGAAGAATTGGTTAGAGTCATGCTTGAACATTTTTTGTATAGGAATTTATTTTATATAAAGCGAGTTAAAAAAAAAAGACCTGTTCATATTCTAAAGATTGTCACTGTATATAATTATAGGAACGGGCTTCAGCCTGTTGAGCCTCCTCACTCATTTTCTTAGATCCTGTCTGATCTGTAATTCAGTACTGTTTGTCTGTCTTTTCTTCACACCGCCAGTACTCTTACTTGCCAAGTATTTATCTTCCCCTACTCCCCTCTTAAACATTCCCATGGGCTATGCATTAACAGTCTTTGGAGAAGTGAATTCCACCGTCCCACAACTCTCTGAGTAAAACAAAAAACTCTCTTATTTTGCTTCATATTTCAGAAGTTCATTTTTGGAGATTCGCTTTCAGGCAGGATACTGCTTCACATCCCGCTTGCATTGTGAAACCAAAGAGAAAAGAATAAGCATGTCTGTGCAGTAGTAATATTTCTCTGTTGGGTTTAATTTGATACTATATAGAAGCCTAACAGATCTGAAAACCTGATCTTCCTGTGAAGAGGTACACATATATAACCTGGGCAGAGAGATAATTTATTGTATTCTTAGTCAAAGGACAGGAAGTTCATAGTGTCTGGAAAAGAAATATCTTTCAAGTACATCTTCTTAATTTTATATCAAGAAATGTCACTATTGTATTATGTGAATACCTTCCCTCCCCCTCTTCTTTGATCAGTGTCCAACTCCGTCCCTGTGAAGTGCTCCGAGGCATTACCCTACGTGGAGGGTGCTGTCTAAGTGCAAGTTGTTGTTGCACTATTCATCTAAACTTTACTGCTAATTGATAAAATCAATATGATGGTAATTGTGAAATGTTTGGGTTCTTTTTGTAAGATTGCAAAAGACTCGTGAACAACCCCACCCCCCCCAACACATCCAAAAACCTTAAGACCTATGTGATAATAAACACATGTATTCAATTTAGTGATACGATATTTAACATATTGACTAGGCCATTGGTCAGCTGGAGGCAGATTGCTCCTCCTGACATCCTTCTCGAATAACCTGGCCACACTGAGTATTGAACTTGTGATCAGTGGAGTGAGTACCTGCTTCACTCAATTACTTTTTCTTTAGTTAAACTATTTAATCAGTGATTCAGTGTCAAGAAGTACAATGCAATACTTTTTGGACATGTTGTGGTGAGCTGGGGATTCACCTCCAGCATACCAGTCAATGTGTTGAATATCATAAATTGCAAAATTGAATGTGTGTGTCAAGCATCACAACATTTATCCTATCATCCCTAATAACATATGCCTAATTGCCTAATTACCGTGCCTTCAGCTCCCCTCTCAACTCTCTACCCCCTCCTCGCTCCCTCCCTTCCCTCCCCTTACCCTGACCATATCCCCCCGGCTCGGGTCCTGACCCAACTGTACAGCGCCTTGGGACGTCCTCCCGATGTGAAAGGCGCTCAATAAACGGAATCTTGTTGTTGTTGCATTCAGCAATATAGGTGGTGTGGAAAGCTGAGACTGCAAGCTGGTCTGTGAATTTGTCGGACTTGCAAAAAAAACTTGTTAGATCAAAACTGGAGGGAGAGGCCTGTCATTTCTGCCCCATGCTTTATGAAATGTGTACACTTACACTTATTTTGTGAGCCAATCTACAATCTGATTGCCCTGTGCTTTAAAGACAGTAAATCAGTATATAGGTTATTTGCCATGATTACGCATTCCTTGGGGCCAATGCTTGTTTCGGGGTTGTGGAGTCCTGTAGCTCAGTGGTTAGAGTACTCGCCTTGCAAGCGAGACAGTTCAATTCCCGTCAGGGCGAAACCTTGGGAAAGTTTCCTTACTCCACACGCCTAATAATAATCCCTCCAAAACAAAACAATAGTAAATTGGTCATTTTCAATCCACGACTGTTTGTGGGACACTGCTGTGCGCAATTGGCTGCCGTGTTTCGCCCACAAATATACGGTCAATTCACTTTACAGTCTATTCTGTGAAGCGCTTTGAGATGTTGAGAATTCGTGAAAAGCGCTATATCAAATACAAGGATTATTATTATTGATATCCTTTGCTTGGTCTTAGTTTATGGGTGAGCTGGAGAGATAAGGGAGCCTATCTGCATACACTCCTAAAGTCATTATCCTTCCTTGACTTCAGGCAGAGCTCTGTTGTTTCTGTTTGACCTATTTCCCCTCCCTATGTTGGTTTGTTTTTCCTTGCTGGGACCCAGGTGTTTTTGGTGTTTGAAGAGGGCTTTTATCATTTAGGCTTCTTGGAAGGGGCCCCTGACTGTCTGGTTGTTTCCCTGTTCAGTCAGAAGCTGAAAATCACTTATCCCAATTGGTATGCATTCTTCTGTCCAGCATCCAGTTCCTTGCAAGTATGTTTTAATCAGGTTAATGTATTTGCACGAGCCATGGTTTGAACTATTTCTTTGTGGAAAAGATATTCATATGCAATAGCATGGTCTACTCAATTTGGGATATGTTTGTTTACACTAATGTACATTAAATACACAGAAGTGCTCGGTGTAAGGAACTTTTATTATGCAAATCCAGAAGTTGTTTGACAAATTTAATTGAGCCAACTCCTTTTAAATAGTATTGCAGTTCAAAGCTATACTTCATGTTATGATGTTAGAAAAGCTGTGTAATCAGCTAGCCACACTTGGTGATACAATAGGCAAAACCCTATTCCTGTTGTAATATTACATGGTGTTAAAGCAACATTACATACATGAGCACAATATAATCTGCAGATTTTAATCTATTCTTCCTCCGAATACAGCAGTGACACAGGATTAGTTTATTGCAGTAAAATTAATGAGGATTAGTAAAATACGTTTCAGTAACTTCACACTTGGGTATCTTGTAGCACTATCAATGGGATCTAGTTTGCAATATTCATATGCTGGATTTGAAACATTCATTCATACGCTTGTGATTTCTTTTTGATTTTTGTTAACTCAGAAAATTGTCAACTGCTTTTTCAAAAAAAAACAAGCAAAGAGCAAAAAAAAAACCTGCTGCAGAGCAAAATGCTAGATACTCTTTAAAATAACCAGAAACTCACTGTTGGTTGTACTCATTTGCACCACCACAACAACAACAACAAGATTCCATTTATAGAGCGCCTTTCACGTCGGGAGAACGTCCCAAGGCGCTGTACAGTTGGGTCAGGACCCGAGCAGGGGGGAAATGGTCAGGGTGAGGGAAGGGAGGGAGCGAGGAGGGGGTAGAGAGTCGGGAGGGGAGCTGAAGGCACGGTCAAAGAGAAAGGTCTTGAGACCGGCCTTGAAGGAGGAAAAGGGGGAAGCAAGGCGAAGGCACTGGGGGATAGAGTTCAGAAATATTCAGAATGACATAAACTAAAGTAAGGCTGGAGATCAGAAGGAATCCCCCCCCATCCCACACTTAGTAGTAGGATGTGGAACGTATTCCTTGTAAGGCAGGTGATACTGAGTCAATTAACTCCCATCAAAACAGAACTGGGTAAGTATCTGCTTGGGAACAACGGTAGAAGTTTAGAGAGGTAAATGTATATACCGATGCATAGATAATTTTAAAGGACTGGCTGGTTTCTGTGATTCCAGGGCCAACAATAGAAAAGTGGGAATGAATGAATGTTCTGGAGTTCAGCTAAATTATTTTTAAGGATCAGAGTAGATAGAGTGTGTGGGTGGAGTCCACAATAGGGTGTAGTTTGTGATAGGAATGAACCTAATAAGGTAAATGGCCTTGTTCCATGTTTGGTTATGATCTCTTACTGTTATCTGACTCACTGATGCAGCCCTCCTATCTTATGATGTAATGTTACTTATTATTTAATTATTTTCTGGAATTCCTTTTTGTCAGGGTGGTACCAATAATTTAGAGTGTTGCTGGTTTTATAGTGACCATATTACTCCAGAGCAGTTTTGAGATTCTTTAGTAATATTTGAACACCAACTCTTGTTTAATTCTTGTTCAATTTTTAAACAGTAATTTGAACAGTATTCTTTAGCAGTTGTAATTAATTTTTGATGCGATTTGTTTTCTAGTGGATATAAAGTTTTCTCACCTTGTTCAAATGCACTTTTAAGTTAGAATTTTTAATACTTGTGCGATTTTGTATGCCCCGGTCTTCAACAAACCTGCCTCAATGCCTCTATGTTTCCCTCTCGTTGCCTGCCTTCAGATCGCACCTGAAAATTTTCCTCTTTGGCTGTCCAAATTGTCACTCCCTTTCTCCACAGCTCAGTGTCAAACTACACTATTGTCCGGGCTCTGAGATGTTACCCCAAATGAAATGCGCTACATAAATGCAAGTTGTTATACCTTATTACTTATTACTTCATGTGACTTAGGTCAATCATAACGTAAAGGAACGTAAGCACATCCGAGCTGGGCAGAAAACAACAATAGCACTCAAACATCACAAGATTGGTTTGGATGAAGAAGGCCATTTGTCCAATCTGATCCCATCCTTGCAGAATAATAATAATAATCCTTGCATTTGATATAGTACCACGTCACGTCTTCAAGACGCCTCAAAGCGCTTCACAGAATAAACAGTAAAGTGAATCGACTGTATATTTAGTGGGTGAAACGCAGGAGCCAATTGTGCGCAGCAGTGTCCCACAAACAGTCATGGATTGAGTGACCAATTTATTATTTATTTATTTTTGAAGGAATTATTATGCCCGGAAAAGCAATCCGCCAATCGACTAACAACC